CTTTGTTTCCTGGATGGTTCCGGCCATGTTTATTGGTAGGACTATCTCACCTTTGGTGGTTTCACATGCCATATTGAACCCGTTTAGGACCAGAGTTGTGGGTACGATCTGATCCTGTAGGCCGAGCTGCTCTACTACCTTCAATTGAATAATGTTGGCCGAGCTACCTGGATCGATTAACACACGCTTAATTTTAGTTTTATTCATGAGTACAGATATTACCAGTGCGTCGTTATGAGGTTGGATGACCCCCTCTGCATCTTCATCATCAAAGGACAGAGTCCCCATGGGTGCGTAATCTTGAGTCCGAGATCGCTTTTCCCTCACCATCGATGTTTTAGTGCGTTTAAGCATTGGTTCCTGAGGGGTATCGATGCCGCCGATGATCATGTGGATGACGTACTACGGTTCTTCTTGCTCGTTTTGCTTGCTGAAATTCCTGCTTTTAAAATGGTTCTTCGCCCTATCACTCAGAAATTCCCGAAGGTGCCCTTTGTTAAATAAGCGAGCTATTTCCTCTCTTAGTTGCTTGCAATCTTCTGTCCTGTGGCCATGGGTACCATGATATTCGCATGTTTGATTGGGATTTCTTCGGGCAGGATCGGTCTGTATTGGTCGAGGCCATTTAGTGTCTTTGATGCGTCCGATGGCTGACACGAGAGCGGATACACCAACGCTGAAGTTATATTCTGATAATCGATGTGCTTCTATAGGATCGACATATTTATCGAAGCCGCTCTTACTCATAAGCCCCCAAGAATTTTGTTCTCGATCAATCCTTCGATTGTTTCGAACTGCGTTGCGTGCTGAACCGTTATTCACCCGATCTGCGACGTACGGTCGATATCGGTCTCTGTTCGACCTTTGTTCTCTGTCGATCTCCTTTTGGTTTTTAATAACTGTCCTGTTCTGATAAACGGGTCCTTACGGAGCTCCCAACTGATCATCCTCGACCCTAATTTTCGATTGATATCGGTTGTGTACATCCGCCCAAATTATCGCTGGATACTCGATCAAATTTTGTTTCAGCCGATGTGATGCTGTCGAACTTAGCTCGTTCAACCCTTGGGTGAAAGCTTGTACGGCCCAATCGTCTGTGATCGGGGGTAATTCCATGCGTTCCATTTGAAATCGGGATACGAATTCCCTCAGCATTTCATCTTGCCTTTGCTTTACTTTGAAGAGGTCTGATTTCCTCGGTGCAACCTTTATGGCACCAGTATGTGACTTTACGAACGAATCTGCTAACGTGGCAAAAGAATCGATGGAATTCGGCGATAAATTGTGGTACCAGATCATCGCTCCCTTCGAGAGGGTCTCCCCGAACTTTTTCAACAACACAGATTCGATCTCATCGTCCTCCAAATCGTTGCCTTTTATGGCATATATGTAAGAGGTGACATGTTCGTTAGGATCGGTCGTACCGTTATATTTGGGAATTTAGGGCATACGGAATTTTTTGAGGATTGGCTTTGGTGCCGCACTCGACGGAAAAGGCTTTTGTATGAATTTTTTTCGAATCAAGCCCCTTTATCATCGGTGGAGCCCCCGAGATTTGATCGACCCTGGCATTGTACGTTTTCACCCTCTTGTCGTTGGCTTCGACTCGTTTTGTGAGTTCCTCGAGCAATTTAGTAATTCCGGGAGTAGTCCCCGATTCTAGCTTGTTAGATTTCACTATGGCGGGCTCTGTTCTGGGGGTGACTTCTCGAAGTGGATTGGTATCCGGCCTGCTTTGTGCACGAGTTTGGCTCTGTAGCTGAGCTATCGCTACTTGTTGGGATTGTAGCATCTCGAAGATCATACGTAAGCTGGCCCTGATTTCCCCCGCATTTTGGGTGTCTCGAGCTACGGATCGAGTATCGCCCTGAATGTTTCTTTCCGGTTCGGAACGCTGGTTCACCTCCAAAGCTATTTGTGAATTGACATCCAATGGTATTTCGGCTCGAATTTCGGGTACTTTGATTCGAGCATCGGGTGCCAAGTTGTTGGTTTCATCTTGAAGGCCGACTTCGTAATCGATCGGTGAAGCCATTTGATTGGTGGTTATTCGTAGCTGATGCGAAATTCAAGATGTTTTCAGAAATAAGTGCAAAGCACAATGGCGTATTTTTTTAGATTTGTATCAAATGACCACTGTTATCCTCGGCCCCACGGTGGGCGCCAAACTGTTTACCCGAAAAATGGATAGAGTTGAATTTATACGCAGTTCCGAGGATATGTAGCGTAACTTAATACAAAATGCAAGGATAAATAAAAATATAAATATAGATTGGAGAGAATGCAAAATAGATAAGGTTATCAGGAATAATGGATCTTAGGGTTCAACAAATAGAATCAATCTAAGGAGTCTGAAAGAGCGATTTTTTTACTGTAGAAGGAGATAACACCTTTATTACAATGTAAGCCTCAGAAAAAACTTGTCCTACAGAAATGGTAACCAAGCCCTTTTATAGTGGATGGATTAGGCTCTAAGCATAATAAAATAAACATTCAGTGGGAGACCCATGATATGTCAGCTTTTCCATAATCTCTGCCAAGATTCTCTCTAGTGGGATTGCAACGGCTTTTGTCTGCGAGCTCGATCCTACTTAGAATCCTCGATTTTGGTTAGGGCTTGATTTCGGCTCGAACTCGTGACCTTGGTTCGAGCCCTCGAATTGATTCGAGGTCAATGTTGGTTGATTTCTGGATTATCAGAACATAGATCTACTCTGCATCATGGTTTGATTTTGATTCGAGCTTGATAATGATATCGACCTCGACACGGATCAGCCTTCCGGGTTCGAGGTTAGTTCGTTCCACGCTCAGGATCTTACTCCGATAAATCGTCGTTCGAACTCGATCGAACGTGCTAAGGCCGAAATCTATTTCGACCGTATACAAATGCAACTTTTATAAGTGTTCGATTTTTAAAAAGTTAAAGCCAATCTAGTTTGAGTATAGACGGTGTAATATGTAAAAGGAAAACAAATAATCTTTTCACGAAAAAAGAAAAAGATATATTTTCGAAAAAGAAGAATAAAGAGAAATTGACATTAGTGACAACACATAATAAGAATTGACAAAATTTTAGCCTTAAATTAAGTTTGGCAGAAGAAGCCGAAAGAATTTGGCATTCTATAGCCATATCCCATAAAGTACGATTTTGTATCCTCTCAATACCAATATATTAGGGATATTATGAAGATTTTGTACTTGTATCTCTCGTCTCCCCCTCTCTCTTGTTCCATCTCCCTCTCTCTCCATATCCATAAAATTTCTTTGTTGATGTCAACTAAAACAGTAATAGAAAATCATGCAAATAATTTGTAATGGATGTAGTGTTTCGTGAAATAGGGTTTCGATCAACTTAATAGTTCAAAGTTCAAACATCTGAGAATATTTTTTCTGTGTTGTAATCATGCCCCCAATTATTAAGTTTTAGAGTGAAAAAAATAATTTTTGAAATATTTTGATATACAACCGATACATCCCCCCCCCCCCCC